ACAATTGAATATTTCCATTTGCATCACCGCCCTCACTCTCTTATCTTCTTTTCACACTCTCCTCTATACCCCCCTTCCATCTCAACTCCTAACAACTTTGCCTACATCTAATCGAAGTATACCATCCTGTTAACTTCAACAACGCCCGTCTAATCCACCACCATGACGTTCATCGCATTGATCACCTCTATCCTTGCGCTTGCCCACAAAGCATCCGCCCATTTCAAGATCAACTACCCGACCTGGCGTAGTGACACCTTCAATGAAGCTCTCAACTACTCCCAGTGGACGTATCCCTGTATGTACCTCTCGTCCGATACCATTACTATGTCCTTTAAATATTTACCCATAGCTAATGATCCGATACGTAGGCGGCGGCGTTCCCGATGGCGTCGGCAACCGAACCGAGTGGCCCATCACCGATGGTGCTGTTCAGCTCACCCTCCATCATCCCTGGACCTATCTCTTCGTCAACGTTGGCCTTGGCTCTTCCGTCACCAACTTCAACATGTCCTTCACCCCTGACCTGATGAACGTCACTGGCCAAGGCGGATTCTGTCTTCCATCCCTCTCCGTCCCCATGAAGGTCAGCGATGGCACCAATGCCACCATTCAAGTTGTTACCAGCGGTGATTCTGGTTCTGCTTTGTATAACGTAAGTAGTATATATTGACACGTTAACGTGACGCACGTGCGAATCTAAAGTATGACCTCAAGCTAATAACATTCCAGTGCGCTGACATCGTCTTTCGATCTTCTGCAAAAGTTCCGGCCGGTGTGTGCAAGAACGACACGGGCATGTCGGCCGTCATCGTCGGCCATTCGTCGACTACAGCCTCTAACTCATCAGCCACGGCGGCTTGCCCATCTTCCACCTCTGCCCATAATTCGGCGACGGGAATAGCCGTCGAAGGAATTGCACTGGCAGCTATGCTCGGTCTAGCCTGTGTCTTTGCCACCGGTGCAGTCTGAGATCTTTGCCTTCCGAGAGAGATCGGTAGTTGGACGAGATGCAACAACGAGCTTGTGCAAAGATTCCTATTGGCCATATAATTATGTAAAGCACCCCTGGGCGTGACGCTTGAGGATGGGGATGGCTACACGGATGTAATGTCACATTAGTTTGCAAGTTGCGCGAATGTGATGGCACTAATAAAAAAAGGAATATGTGTTGCAACTTACTATCTTTGGCTTAATCTAAGGTGATGGATGCAATAGCAGTCGACGTCTAGCTCGTCGCTTCGACTGCTAGCACTAGTAAGTAAAGTGCTTCGAATCGCTAAATTAATCCCAATCTGTCGCAACATTTTGCTACGACGTATACATTTCTATCGAACAGAGCCAACATGTGTAAACCATTTTCTAGGCCTGACCTGATCTCGGCAAACCAGACGATACCATGGTCAGTAGAAATGATGTGAAGCTGAAGCCCTCCAGTAGCACCGACCCTTCGCTCTGAAATTTCCTTCAGGATAAGTCGGGCTTAAGTAGCGTAGAGATAAATAGCATATAGGAGCGACACGGCGCGTTTATGACGAAGCTCTGGGCAAAACAATATTGTGATCGAAATGAGATGGTGATGGATCGGATCAAACCGGCTCGCGACAGAGGCGAGCGAAAGGGCTTATTCTACTAATTCGATTCGCTTGCTTTATTCATTCATGCGTACGCCCTCGCTTACTTATTCGAGGCTGTATTCTCCTTTAGTAACTCGCTTATCACCTTCTCCATAGTGATGCGTTGGTTCGGGTTAGGTGTTAACATCTGTCGGACTAAATATTCCACGCGGTCCCGCTGGTTTAGGCGAGCCTTAGCCTCGTTGACCTCGCCGAGCCACTGCTGCATTTGATGAACGGCCGACGTAGCTCTGTTACCTGCATGACCGTGATTATGCGGTAAAGGAGGAGCTTTCCGATTCAGGTCTGCGATCATCCAGTACAACTGCTTCGGGTGCCCTTGTCGCCCTCGGGCATCTGGGAAGGGGATCTTACGTAGAACGTATAACATGGTGACACCGAGAGCCCATACGTCGGATTCGGGACCACGTAGCTTTTGACCGATAAATTCGGGGGGTACGTAGTAGGGGGTACCGCCGTTGGTGGCCGGATCGATGGTGCGAGTCGACAAGCCGAAGTCGCAGAGAACGGCGCCGCGGTCGCGTGAGTACAGGATGTTAGCTGGCTTGATATCGTTGTGGATCTTGCGCTTCTGGTGTACGTAATGTAGAGCGCCAGCAATGTCACGCAGGATGCGCACAGCGTCGTGGCGGCCACCGACGAACAGATCAGTGGCCCCGTCCCGCCATACACCGCGGGCTGCGAGGTCCTTGCCGTCTACGTGCTCCATGTATAGCGACAAGTACCGCGCGTCACCACCGTATAGCCGTACGATGGATTCATGCCGCAGGTCCTCCTGACTCTGGTACTCGCGTAGCCAGATATCCGCCTGACGAATCACGTTACGGTGCGTCTCCTGCGGCCGAGCATCCGAGGCGTTAGGATTGCGAGTCTTGAGTACCTTAACCGTGATGACCCCCTCCGAAACGTGGGAGTGCTCCGCGGTAAACACTGCCGAGGCACCTGTCGTGGCGATCTGCTCGCGCTTCGTCAATTGATACTCGTCGAGCTCGCACCCACCAGGGATGGAAACTGTCTCGTCCTTCTGGATCTCCAGAAGAGCGTGGCCATTGGGTATGGCGACCTCTTTCGCCTTGGCCGCATTGGGAAGAGGGAACATGAGCTGTTTATCCTCCGGGCCCATGAAGATGATGACGCCGTCTTTCTCTTCACCATCTTCCTTACGAGCCTTCTTCCCAGCGACTGGGCTGTCCGACTCGTCGTCGCTAGCATCGGGTAGGAAGGACCGCTTCCCAAAAGAGTTCACGACGTCCGAGCTCGAGATTACGGACGACTCAGTACCGTCATGAGGAACTAGACGTGTCGCAGGTCGTTTCTCTAGTATCCTGAAGTCAAGGACGGGAATTGTGTAAACGCTGATTCGCCAGGTGCCTGGCGACAGGTCCTTGGTATTACCCGGGACGAGCTCCTGGTCAAAGTTCACGCCGGCGGGAGGACCTACTTGGGATATCCTAGCGAGGACAATAGGTACATCCGACTTGTTCCACAAAATTAAGCTATCGCTGACCGGATTATAGTACAGCTCGCACCATATCGGCGGCCTGTTCTCATTATCGCCTTGCGGTATTCTAATGGAGAAGTTGATATCTTTGGACGTCTGAGTCACCGCGAGTACTTTGGACATAGGCTGGGAAGGGTCTGCCACCTCGGCGCGCAAGGCCAGCCACTGGATGTTGTCGTTTCCGGGGCTCACTGAGCGGTTCCGTGTTAGAGGACGTACCAATATACGGATGCCTTGTTTATGATGGTCTTCCTCGACGACTAGGTCGTCAAGGGGTACGGTATCTTGATGCGCATCTTCGACCTCGTCGACTTGGATGCCTCCGAGGAGTCTTTGTTGGAGCTCTTCCGGAGTGAACGGCTCCGTCTTCTCCTCGGAGGGGAAGACTTCCGCCATCGCGAGACTTTGAAAAGCAGTACGCGGTATAGAAAAGAAAAAGAAAGATTTGAGCTTAAATTTAGGTAAATACAATGGCATAGGCGTAGACTGTTGCTTGGCTCACTTGCGGTTGTATATTGTCGAAGAGAATAAGAAAATAAGAAAATAAAACTCCTCGAGAAATCAGAAAACTCAACACAAGCGCTTCAACGACCGGCTTCTCTAGGGCACTTAGAGTAAACCGGGGTGTCTCTGCATTCTCGAAGAGAGAACCGTCGGTCAGGTGAACTGTCCTCAGGACCGGATTCTCTCAGTCAAAACTACCTCAGGTAAGCCCTGGTAGAGTGTCATAAATGTCATTTTCAAGAAAGCTTTGGAGAGAAATGAGATGCTGTGCGGCTGATCCCGCCCTTTTGCTCTGGAGACTTTAGGGACAGATCGGCTGCCTAGGGTCAGTCAACCTACCTAGGTTATCTTCCTAATCACGGAACTATACCTGGCTGGGAAGAAATGTCCTATTATTAATGCCCCTGCTGCCCTGCTACGAGATGCTGGTTCGCGGTAAGGCGTCTGCCTTATATAACGAGGCAATTGGCATCGAGACAGTGGGGGCCATATCAGATTAGGTAGCTTACCAACTTATATAAGAGCAGAGATACCCGGGGAGAAATAAACTTCTTGTATGTTACGGATTTCTAGGGCTGAATGTTTGACGTGCTCTCGACTATGACACCGTATAAGGTACAGTGGAGGTAACGGTTGCGGCGGCCCGCTGCGTGAACAGTTCCAAGTGACTATAGGAGTCATGGAGTTGACACTGTCTCATTAGCCCGTTAGGGAGTCAAGTGATGTGATTTGACTGACAACAGGCACCGAAGGCGGCGAGAACGGAGAGAACGGAGAATTGAAGAGGGAGGGGGGGTTATCGGCTTCCTTTTTGCCCCCAATTCTCAAACGTTCTGAATGACACCATAGTGGCTGGGTAAGCTGAGCCATCATTCCCACCGCCGACTAACGGACAGCCTGCATCGAACTGGCCAGACTGGGAGTACCGCTTTGTACTCGGCCAATCTGCCAATACAGACCTCTTTGCCTGTTGTGCTCATCGCTTTCGAAATTTCACACCGCTATCGTTTGAGCGGTGCATCTGCTTTAGCTTCAATTCAAGGGATATAGAGAAGGAACTATAGCCTCGAAGTCTATTTTGAAAGAGTCTTATAGAAACAGTTGCGAGTATGATATAGAGGATCAATCCTGACACCTCGTGTTAGAAGCGTCGGAGCCTTTCGCTTCTTACCGCTGTTGCATTTTTGCAATGTTGCGTTGCGTGGCGTGCTTATTGAAGAGACCAAAAATGGAAAGAGATAACTGGTAGGAAAAGGATCGGAAAAGAAGGAAGATGGTGTGGTCCGTGTGTAGCACATGTGTGGGTCAGTGAGGTAAGATACTCCACTTGGCTATCTGTATATAATGATTGATTGGCCAAGTGTAAATAGAGTAAAACCTGAACTTCTTCTGATTGGCTTTTCATCACGGCAATGTAGCCAATGTTGTCCGGGCGCGGTGTCCTTGTGGCCCCCAACGGCACACAGTTGGCACTTTAGTTAAATGCCTGAGGCAATTAAGGCGCCTAACTTAGAGATATGGTACCAAGCGAGTTCCCACTTTGTCCTTCTCATCGTCGCCCAGCACCTACGATTTCAACAAAGACACAGTGGATTAACCAAAGGCATGCAGCAGTGAATATTTCTACACCACAACAAAGCCTGTCAACACCGCTAGAAATCCCTCCTTTGGTGCAAAACACTCCCAAACCGTCAAACAAGACAACATTTAGATTTTTTTCTTCTTCAAAATGGATTCTACATCGTGTGTTTAAATGGCTTCGTTCACTTCTAGCAGCCTTTGTATCGTGACCCGACTCAATAATATTGTACTTATACCAACTATTCCCTTTTCTTTTCTAACCCATCAGTAACCACCCTAATACCACCGAAACCGACTCCTTATACCACCTAGAATACAGCCCACAGCACAACGTCTACCCGGTCGAATTAAAATCCGACTCTTGATACCCATTTCCCTATTGGGACTCTGAGGTTGACGAGTTAACGCACGCTCTGCCAGAGGATGGACGATCCCGGATGCTCATGGCCTGCCTGGAAGTTTGGGATGAAGAGGGACGAACTCTTCACCGGACTTCATGATCGATACAACACAATCGCCTTCTCTATTCAGGATCCCGAGGCCTTCCACCACGATGTTTACGAAATTTCCAATACCGCAAGCACAGTCGATGAGTTCCACCGTATGCTGGCTGACCGCAAGCAGCTCCGGCTGAACGAGCTGAACCAAAGCCTAGAATCCGCCTCTGTCGAGATCATCGCTAACCCGAGCCTCATCGGTACTCAACAGTGGCAATACGCTCTGCAACTCTTCCGCACCAAGTCGCTGGACTCCCTTGTAAGATACTTCGCGTCTTATCTTCCAGATGATCATCCCTGGCATCAATCCACCGATGATCCAACATCGAAACCATTCTTCGACGATCTAGAGGACGACGTCCCTATCATGACGCATGAACCCCTCGCTATCGATACCAGTTCCCGCATTCCGGCTAGCCATCTTCCTCCTTCACCCCGGTCTCTTACGATGTGTTCGGACGATTCTGCGGTGTCAACCCCGGCGCGAACATTATCCTTCTCAGAACCCGAGACGGACGCGATGGTGCTATCGGGAACGCTTTGTCGCGGTTTCGACGACGAGGAAACGTCACAGTCAGACGAGCCTGATACACCAATCACTTCTGTGTCTGATATGTCGGATATAGAGTCTTTAGAGTCTCAACCAGAGGAAGAAGAGGAGGTGGAGGAGGCTATCACGGATGAGAACAAACCAGTATTTTTAGGACGTGATGTCCAGGGGAACGATAAGAACGAATCAGAGACGCCAACCCCTCGAACCGAATTTCACTCGGATTCATACATAAGTAGTGAGGCTGTAAAGATAGTATCGTCTAAACATAGCCCACTCCGTAGAGATGTTCGCGATAGAAGTCCAGGTCTAGCAAGATCGCGACGGAGTCCAGAAATTGGACGGGTTCAAAAACCCCTACCAGATCCCACAAGAGTCAGACCCAAGGGTCGAAGACGTTAACTGGGCAGTTGATGCTGCCACGAAACTGTATATATCCTTATGATGCCGCTGTACATACCCACTAACGCGTTAAGTTATTTTTTCACTATCGTGTTCTCTCCTAGTTGAGATTTCCTTTTGAGGATGTGGTGATTGCCTCGAGATTATCATGAGTGCTAACTTTACCAACTTACACAATAATATCCCCGGCAACGGGATTTAATATGTAGGTATAATAACAGAGATAGAACTAGTGACATTCTAGTGTCTTAATAATAAGGTATCTGGTTCTATCCTCTGATTGCTAATGAATCTCAAATTAGGGACAGGTGATCAAGTCATACCTGATTAAAACAGATGTGTTACCACAGGTATCTACCTAATGATGCCATTCGCAGATACCCGTAGCAAGTGATGACATTTACTACTACTGAGTTTTAGTGAGTAAGTACCTATTCTCTAGTTAATACTGTTTGCTCTAAACTTGCACAGTTTCAGGGAGTGCTAGGCACTACAGATACTAAAAGTTTGCGCTTCTCAAGTGCCTAACCGCAGCCGGTAGAGGTAAATAGGGGACATGGTGAGGTCATCGACTTGGATGTACATGCGATCACGAATCATGAGTTATACGGACAAGACAAACGAAGGTGTATGATAGTTTATTAACCAGGTAAATAATGTTTAATCTTCTTTCTTTTGTCAATATTATCATTACTTTATCCTTCTGCTTATCGGAGTCTCATCTGCTCTATATCAACAATATTTCATTATTCCAAACACGTAACCTACATATCTCTACTTGAATAATACGCAAAACAATATGCCAGAAACGCTACGAGAGAAAGCAACCAAAAAGTTACAAGGCCCCGACGCCAACCCAAGCCAACTTGGTGACCCCATCAGCATCAAGGCAGAGCAAAGTAATACTATACCAACCAAGCAAGAAGGTGGTGCTATTGATGCTTCGGAGTCACCGTCTCGTGATTCCAAACAGAGCAGCAAAAATAGCAAGGGCAACGCGAACGGAGATGGAGAGACCCTGAGAGAGAAAGCCACCAAGGAGCCTCAAGGACCTAACGCCAATCCAAGTCAGCTAGGCGACCCGATCAGTCTCAAGGCCGAGACAAGCGACTATGTTCCTACTGACGAGGAAGATGATCCTCCTGGCGAGGAAGAGAGGACTCGCAAGAAAGATTCGAAGCTTTAAATTTACGAAGCTGGCCGCTTGTTAGTTTTAGAAGCACAAGATGATACTGGTCCATCTTGCAATGGTATGTTGGACGTCACATAGGAGTCCATAGTAAAGAATAATGTAAAATCAATTTTATGTTTTATATCGTGGTTTGCATTAGTAAATGCCAATGCGCTGATACGGTAAGCAAGTTTGATTTATTACCTAATACTCTGGTGGCTTACAATTGAAGCTTTGGAATCATTTCAACAACCCGGTCCAGCAAGATTTGTCATAATACCAACGGACGAACGACGCATGATGAATCCGAGATTTGCTCCAATCGTAAGAGACTAAACCTAACCAAACTATGCGCATACCTAAGGTAAGAACATTAGTGCAAAGCTGCAATAAGATGGCGTAATAATAAGTAGTACAAGTGCGTCATCCTTCACTTACCTACACCACATTTAAGCCGAGCAGTCGGGGTTTCAACCGCCGTCCCGCATGGCGAGTGAGGTATCAAGTACCTATTCTCTGTAGAATATCCGGGACCTGCATACGATCTTCTATTTCTATTTAACAGGCTAGATACCCGCGAGTTCGGTATCGTTTCAGAAAGCAATCATCCTATTCATCATTGATATTTCAGAAACATGTCTCACCCTGTAAGCTTTCACTACCCAATATCAACCCCGATTGCAGAACGTGAAGCTGACCATAAAAACAAGCCCCAAATCGAATACCAAAAGGACGGTCGTTTTACAAGACCTGATAGCACATTCCGCGATTTCATCTCTGCAGACCCTAACTCAAAATTCCCTGCTGAGAAAGGTCGCTATGTGCTGTATATTTCCGGCGGCTGTCCGTGGGTATGTGAAGTTGACGTCCGAGTTCATAGCAACAACTACAACAATTACTAACATAACTCCCAAATTACAAGGCGCATCGCACCAATATCGTGCGCTCCTTAAAGCGCCTTGAAGATATCATTGATTTATATTACCTGAGCTCATCCATGAGCGACAAGGGTTGGTGGTTCGACGGCTCGAATGGTAGTCTATCGAAAGACCCGTTATACGGCTTTAAGTATCTACGAGAACTGTACTTCAAAGTTGATCCCAACTTCAACGGCAGGTTTACCGTGCCGGTCCTATGGGACAAGAAGACCGAAACCATCGTCAACAATGAGTCTAGCGAGATTATCCGCATGTTGTACTCTGCGTTTGATGCTCTTATCCCCGAGGAGTTCCGGGAGGTTAATAAACCCGGAGGCGGCCTTTACCCGGAACACTTGCGCAAGGAGATCGACGAGATCAACGAATGGGTCTATAACACGGTCAACAACGGCGTATACAAGAGCGGATTCGCCACCAAGCAGGAATCCTACGAAGAGAATGTCTACCCCTTATTCGAATCGCTCGACCGTCTCGAGGGCATCTTAGCCGGCCATGGAAAGCCCTTCCTACTCGGGGACCAGCTCACCGAAGCCGATATACGCTTATACCCAACGATAGTACGATTCGACGCCGCGTACTACACTGTGTTCTTATGTAACTTAAAGAGTATCCGGCACGATTATCCGCACTTGAATAAGTGGCTACGCCGGCTTTACTGGGACGAAGGCAGCAAAGTGACTGGTGGTGCCTTTCATAAGACCAGCGCCCCGTGGATTAACCTATATGCTCAAGGATACGCTACCGCGAGGGCAAGGGTCGCTAAGATCGAGGGTCCTATCATTGTTCCTCGGGGCCCGGCAGTGCCTGTCGAACCCTTGGCTGAGAATGAGAAGATATGGTGATTATACCGTGCGTTTGGGCTAAACCAATAACTATGAAGTACCAGAGATCGGATCAAAAGATCCATAGTTGGACTGCGGATCTAAATGATATTCACATCATTATTCGTTTCACTGCTTAACGAAAATTAAAATTAAATCTAATGCTTTGGATGAAGAAGGGGAGGTAGCTTGCCCTAGGTACAAATACCCATCCAAGCGCACTTTAGGCAATTTTCGTCCCGTATTATACTGAGGCTCGTGAACTTCACTTGTTCTCGTCATTTGATATTTGAATAAAGATATTATACATATATGTCCATACACCTGTGTCCAGAAGCCTACCAGTAATTTGACGGCTTTGAACAACTAATTGCGGCATGTAACCGACCTCATCCCACAGGGGATGATAAAATCGAGTTATCCCGACGTTTAAGTCCGCCAACCTCCTTCGGCTTGGAAAATCTCCCCGACAGCCTTGGAAACCGCAAGGAGATGCCTATCATGATACCTCGGCGCGACCAACGACAGGCCAATCGGCATTCCGTTCTCACCTTTGAAACCGGGGATATTCACCACTGGGACGTGGAGAGCCTAAAGAGAAAATTAGTAGCGCTCAAACCCATCACCTACCTAGAAATCACGACTTACCGTCCACATCTTATTAAATGCCGGGTCTCCAGTAAACTCCGTACCCACAGGCGCCTCATCGACCACGCTCGGCGTAAGGACAGCAGCATATTTACCGGCTATCGCATCAAATCTAGGCCTTAGCGCGGCTACTCCGTCAAACGCCTCAAGCTGAGCGGCCCGCGATGTCTGGCTCTTATTCTCAACGTGGTCGACCAGGAGAGACGTCAACTTCTCTTTAGCAAAGCGGTATTCCGGCAAGAATGTCGTTCTCGCGTCGGCGTCAAGTATAATGCCGTGCCACTCGGGCACCCTGTCGAATTCTGCTGGCAGCTCGATCTCCTCGACCTCTGCACCACGATCTCGCAGCAGCTTTGCGCCAGCTTCTAACGCTGCGATTGTGCCGGGCCCGGCCTGGGGCCACACCGTCGTTTTCGCAAGCGCGAATTTAGACCCCTCGATTGAGAAGTCGTCTTGTTGTGCGGGCGTGTCGTCGTCTTCAAGCGCGAAGACGTCGGCTAGGAGCTGGAGATCTTGCACGCATCGCGCAAAGAAGCCGACTGTGTCGAGGTTGACCGAGTATATCTTCACACCCTCGCGACTGACGGCGTTCCACGTCGGTTTGAAGGCAAATATTCCGTTGAACGAGCCCGGGCGAATTGTGCTCCCGCCTGTTTGGGAGCCTAGCGCGATGGGCGCTTGGAAATCAGCCACTGCTGCCGCAGACCCGGAGGATGATCCGCCCGGAGTCCGCGTTACGTCGTGCGGGTTGCGTGTTTTTGGCCCGGTGGCGGTAGACGCAAACTCTGTCGTGGTAGTCTTACCTAGTAGCAAGGCGCGAGCTGTGCGCAGCGTTGAGACAACCGCCGCATCGACATTTGGCTTATCTCCCGCGTAGATCGGGGAGTTATGTTGCGTCGGCATGTCTACGAGGAATTAGCAATCGCATGTCGGTAGCTAAGTTAGGAAGAGCAGAGCTACATACGTCTCGTATATATGATATCTTTCACCGCAACGGCGACACCATGTAAAGGCCCCCAGCGTTCACGGGGTAGATGATCAAGCATCTTCGCCTGCTGGATTACGTATTCCGGGTTGATATATTCCCAGGCCTTGACGGCATCGTCTCTCTTTTCGATTCGTTCCAGCAGCGATCGAGCATATTCTTCCACTGTTAGTGAACCATCTTTGAATTTTGCAAGCGCTTGGGTTGCCGTAAGCTGATAAGGCTCCATTATCGCTTTATCGAAGTTTTTCTTTTTTGGAATCGCGATGTCTTCAGAGGCTTTCTAGCTGTTGAAAATACGGTGATTTTTCTCTGTAGATTCTGTTTCTCGTCTCAGGTTTATGTATATCAGATTGATGATCATAATTTGCCCCACAGGATACGTCTGCGGATTCTGTTAGGAGGTGTAGGAACTCCCAATATACAATAAAGCGAACAAATAGTTTTACGGCAGTTAGGTTGGACGGACCGTATCTAGAATTTGTGTCGTCGCCGGGTCGACGAGTAGGAGATAGGATCTCTAAGGCTCTTGAGACCAAAGAGAATTATTGGCTGAATCGAGTGAATTTCTTCAAGCCCTATGGCCCTTGCCACATAATCGCTACTCAATAACTGTATACTGTTTAAGACAAGTGTTGGCTTCTCCGCCCAACCGGAATCGGAGTTCATGGCATCACTAAGTCGGGGTAGTCCCCACTTATAGCCGGATAGGGCCGGACCTATCCGGGGACGCATATAAAAATATCCCCGACTGAATATCTAAGTGGTGAGGATATATTAGGTACAGTGAAGATTTAATGTCGTTTACTACTATGCATTATGCTAGAAGCTTTAAACCTCATTTATATGAGGTACGACGACTTGCAGGCAAAGTTCGAGTAAGGCCTAATAATCTAAACAATACACGTCAAGAGTTCATTAAGCTTTTCAAAAAGGGGGGGAGGTTCGCTTGTGGCATGTTCTAGTATTAGTCTGTGCGATTACCCTTAGGATCGAGTAGTACTGCAGATAAGGTTCTATTTAGTTACTTTACAAGTGTATAATATATGAAATATACGGAAGTCCCCATCAAAAGTTTTGTCCATACGTGCCACCTGACAGCTTTTGATGCAGCTGTTTGGAACCTGACACTATGCGGCAGCTAAGATTAAAAGTATATATAAAATTTTAACTTTTATAATATATCCAATTTTAGCTTTAATATGCCAATGAAAATATTAAAGTTAAACCTATTATAAGTGCAAAAGCTTCTTTATACGCCTATATATATTTTTATCGTTTGAAGAGAAGATTGTGAGTCATTATGTATAAGCGAAAGTAGTGTGCTATGGATAGTACATGCGCTCGATGGCCTATAGCTGTTGCCAAGCCCTGTTAAAGCTAGTTAAAAGTTAATAAGGGCTGGCTTATGGACAAAACTTTTGATGGGGACTTCCGTAGATGACGATTTACGTTTTTTTCTTCAAATAGGATTACGATAGTAATATATAAGGAGAACCCAAGGGTGATTGAGCCTCCCCCCTAACCCTAGCAGGTTCATTCCATATGATTCGACCCACTAATAATTGAAGATAGAAGGTATTTAATCGTGCTGAGATGCAAGGCTGGCCTCTGTAAGTTTGGTTGTTAGTTTCGTCTCAAACCTAGACCTCATCTTCCTTAGTGAAGGCGAAAAGGGGGACAATGATTATAATATGATATGATGCTTAGGGAAGAGTTTAATAAAAACCATTGTTAAAATAGGTAGTATATACAATATCACCATCCTCTGGAAACCGCTACTCTGAACATTTTAACCACAAGATAGAGATCTAGATAAACCATCAAGCGGGAGCGAAAGATTCTACTTGGAACTTCCACGAAAGGCCCTCCCACTAATTCCGAGAGCAATATCGAATATGCAAACGGCGACATGCTAACCAACCATATGCACCACCAGCACGACTGAACCTCAGGCACCTAACAAAATTTGTTCCCGTTACCCCTCTCCTTAGCAAGATCTAAATCTCATACGTGTTTTGCTAACGGCTGGCAACACGACGCACGGGTACTAACACCTAAGGTTTAACCTAGTGTTTACCATGATCATATAAATGTGACAAGTCGCTTCTGGGTAAATTCTTAAACCTTTCCAAACGCATTCCCAAACGGAACAACAAACCACGCATATAGCAGTCACAGCTAGATTTCCATCAAATCTGCAAAGATGGATTCAACTATGCGTATGTGCGCTTCCTGCCGTCGCTACATGCCTCGCTCGTCCTATTCAGCCAACCAGTTCTCCAAGGGTACCGGCGAATCGCGATGTGCAGGTTGCGTTCATGGGCCCCGTGTCGATGCTCCATTGACTGGTGAGGTTGATAGTGGCAGATACAACCATTCCTGCGATGCCTATGTTCCGGGTCATGAGCTCGACCACCCCTTTGCTGACGGCGCGTTTCGGTGGGTAGCTAAGGGAAGCTACACTTCGGGCTCACGCGAGGGCCAGGCATGCGTCGTCAAGTGGTTCAAGACCGGCGCCGTCTTCGAGGAAGACTACTTCACTCTCGACATCAAAGCCGTCAACAAGGCTTTAGAGATTGTTAATAGATTCAATCTACTTCACATAGTCAACAAACCCGTCAAGGTCAACGTACCCGCTGTATGGAGAGTTTATGAGGCATTTGGGAAGTGGGCGGGGCAACGTATTCTTTGCGAACCCTTCATCCAAAACTACCAAAAGTTCAACAGCAACACTGGATGGAACGACGACTCAAAGGCGTGGGGAGAGGTCATGCAGGCCCTCAGTCATTTCAGCTACCACGTCACAGGCGGCCAGTTCGTCTTGTGCGATCTCCAGGGCGGCATCTACCAGCACAAGGCTGTCCTCTCCGACCCCGTCATCTTGTCACGAAACCGCGACTATGGTGTGACCGACCTTGGCCCCGATGGTATCAGCTCGTTCTTCAGCCAACACTGCTGCAACAACTACTGTCGCTCGAGCTGGGCGAAGCCTATGAACCCAGTTCAAATCTTCCGCCCAGTCCCCGGCACGACCATGATGAGACACGGGGTACCTACGCGTCGTTCCCAACCCATGGAAACCTTTTATTAATCATGGCTACGGCGGATCGAGTAGTTTCAGCATGCGGGTGCCGGCGCTGGTTTTCGCAATACCGCGCCCTATAGACACCGCCCAATGATCGAGGAAATGGCTGATAATTAGGGATGATCTCGGTGTTAATAAAGGCATATATTTTGTAGCAGCTCTACCGGAGATTTGTCTTGTGTACATTTCTTTCTAGGGAGAATCTTGCTCGGCGCACGAAGTGACTTTTGCTCGTTATAAAGCTGTCGTATAGCATGGCTAGGTACCTAAGGTAGCCATAACCATTGATGACGGTTGTTATTGAAATTTTATTATACTGTGCTCTCAACATGGAGTTATTGCAGACGCTGAAGCTCCAGGTTCGTCTGTATCAGTCTTATCGACCGGCTAATATCATCTCGCCATTTTGATGAGGGTAGAGTGCTGTCATCCTGGGCCTCATCTACGCGAGCTGAAATCAAATTTGGGACAGGCTGTGATGAAACAAGCGATAATATGCTGACGAAACAGATAAATAAAAAATGTTTGAGTATCATGATGTTAAGAAGTGGTCGAGAAATGCAGCCAGATTGTACTTGTCGTTTAAAGAATGAAACACTAAGTGAAATAAAGGACTGCACGTAAATTCGTGAGTAGCCTATTAATATTGTAAAGTTGAAAGGAAAATGCACTTATAATAAGTACCCAGACAAAGACAAGAGGTAGTTAACACAAACAACAAGGAATATTCGTAGCTTGATCCTACGCTACATCCTTCGGATAATAACCTGCTTGCTATGAGCGGCGCATTAGGGGACTGCCTTGTTATAAACCTAGAACGGAACGCGAGTGGAATCTAATGTAAGATAACTTTACATAAGATGTAATTTGGTAGCTTCCAATGGAATTTCCATTATTCTAATGAGTGGTCGCACCGGATGTAGGTAGTAAAATCTATTAGTGAATATATCTCATAGAATAGGAATTAATCAAGACTTTTTAAGACGTTTGGAATTGCTACTTCCCATATTTAATTGTCACCATATTACCGTGACGTCATCCCATTAGTTCCGGTAAAGATATCACTCCGAGAAATGAAGCCCACAATTTTGGGTGATCCTATGAGGCGAGAGGAACTGGGGATTCAAGACCTTGCCGGTGAACTAAACGAGCCGAAGACCGAAACAAAAGGCTTCAAACCCAGAAATTCTCAATAAACTCAATCATTCTTAGAATAATCGCTTAGTTAGTTTTACTGTTGTATCTGCATTTTAATAACCAATGGCTGTAATCGAAGTTCAAGTCGTCTTCGACTTCCTTTGCGCGGTACGTAGTCGTACATCACACATAAATCACGAACCCTCAATTTCTGGAGATCTTGCATTAGACTAACACTAAGGATTAGTGGTGCTACATAGGTAAGCGCAACCTCGACCGCGCCATTTCGCTATACCAAAAGACGTACCCCGGCGGCAGATCGGATACTTTCGCCATAACATGGTCGCCCTACTATCTCGAATACAACAAGGCGCCGCATAGCGTTGACAAAGCGGAACTCGCCGAGACGCGCCTTGCGCACTTAACACCTAAGCAGCGCGCGGCGCTTACGCTACACATGAACCGGGCCGGCCGCGCTGCCGGGATCAACTTTATATGGGGCGGCAAGATCGGCCCCGATACACGGGAAGCCCACCGGCTCGTCCGGCTAGGCTCCACTAAAAGTAGCGAGATACGCGACGTAATTGTCGAAGGCCTTTTAGATGCGTATCAAGCGCGCGAACAGGATATCTCGGAACGCGGGGTTTTAAGAGCTGTCGCAGTAAAGGCCGGTATGGATGGCGCCGAGGTAGATGCGTGGCTGGATTCCGACGCTGATGCGGATGTGGTGGACGAGGAGGCTAGGGAAAACAAGAAGATTTTTGGAGGTTCGGGCGTTCCGGCGTTTGTTGTTCAGGGAGTAAATCGGCTTGACGGTGTACAGGATCCTATGGATCTAGTTGAGGTCTTCATCAAAGTTAGGGAGGGGCAGTGACTGGCAGATGATTGAATGGTTGGGGTAGCTGACTACCTATTGGTTGTACACTAGACTTTATTGAAAAGGTATGAAAAATATTCTCGATTAATTAATTAGAGGAACTAAATAAGTTCCTGGCACTAGTTGATAATTAACAAAAGATACAAACATGTCTCATATTAAGTCGTTTTGGAAACTCTCCTGATGTTTGGGTAGTTATTAAGTGTAGTTAGTAGAAATTCTTATCATGTTAAGGACAGTTCACTAACACCTCGGACACCAAGTTTCCTGTATCAGAAGTGTCAACTTCCCCTTCAACTAGACGATACATTCCTATTATGCCGTGAGTTCCGCCTTACCCCCTGAGTAACCGCATTTATGTCTACCGTTTTCATGAGTCTTGTTGGATATTCGTAGACTGGGTAAATAATCGCGTCGTGGATTACCCTTTTCCATTCGACTCACGACCTCTTGTAGGAGCTTCCCTAAGCATACTCGTTAATGATCCCTCTATAAAAAGCGGTCGTACAATGGACATTTACCTAATACTCTACCCATTACAACACTCTTTAAGACAAGGTGATCATCAACTATTATAAGCTTACCTATCATAACCCTTCACTCGTCTCCTGTGCTCTTGATAACAGCGTATCCATCTCTACCATGGCCTCTTCCAATTTCATCCGCTACACATCTGAAGAGTTGCTCGATATCTGCCATCGCCATGCATCCAACTCTGGATTCGTTCCTACGATATTTCTCTCGCATGAAGTAGATTGGCACGAGCTTCTTGCTAAGCCTGTAACGGGATGCTGGCTTGCGGCCCGAGAACGAGAGATTACGTATGACTTAGAAGGCTATCTTGAGAAGCGTAACGACTGGATAGTTATCCTCGAACTTCCCCATGGTGACAACATTACCATCGAACTGAAACAGGCTGATGCTTGCGGTAATACTATTACCGTTTGCCAAAAAGGGGCACCTATGCGCATAGCGGAGAGTGGTCATGACGAGTTCGAGCTTCTCGAGGGCTATGCCTGCAGCTTTAGAAATGGTGTCAAGACACATACCAAGGCTGAGGACTGGTTGGGTCAGTTAGAGAAGTCCGGTGTAACTCGATACCAACTCCAACAAGGTCGAGGTGAGGATCTACTCTGCACCTTCTCGTAAATTAAGTTACCCAGAGTATAACACTAATCATTTTACGATAATATAGGCCGCCGTTACTGGGTTGACGCTGTACTTCGACAGTTCTATAGATTCTATGAAGGCGAGTTCCCTAGTCTCGATCAAACCGAGATGGTACACGTCTGGGAGTCCGATCATGAGGCAGAAGTACCAAGGAGCGCTCGGTCCATCGTAGCTGGCCAATTTCTCCCCACAAAGTGGCCGAAGGGCTCTCATATCTATCAACCTAGCTCCCTTCCGAGCTCAACCGAAGACCTCCCTAGCTCTCTACCTGACCCAGCTTTGGGGCCCTGGAGATTTCAAGGAACCAAGCTTGATATGAAATCTTGGTTTAAGAAAGGTTCCCAGAATTCGCAATCCATGTCAGGTGCCCAATCGAGTACGCCGTCTGAGTCTCAACCCCGACCGGAACACCACATGAGAGATTGGCGAAGAGAAGGAACTGGTGGTACTCCGTCTTGGTATGTATTTCCCAACGACTATTGATGGGAAACTTCCGAGTTACGACCAGCATTTTTCAGTATATAGAGAGGTGATGATATATGAGCAAATATAAGATATCAACAGATTAGGTTAACTGGTACCTAATCTACTAGTAACTTAACTTATCCGACTTGGAAACGTCACGAGACACGTGAATAGACTATGAGACTTTGGTTCTTTACTTAGAAATTTACCTCTTTTAGCGGTGACCTAAGATGTAACTCGGGACATTAGATTGGGTGGTTACATTCCCGGGTAAATGTGAAAGGCAAGGACGGTATCGAAGCTGTAATACCGGCCGTACGGGGTGGTTATCACCTATTTATTTCTAACTATGGCGAGTCCAGCTCTCTTCGGGACATCTTATCCTATTTGTCCAAATTATCCACCAATGACTTCCACCATTTCGAGCTTCTCTACCTCTCCAAACTTGGATCCTTAACCCCAATGTGGATTCCCAATGCGGAGTATTATTTACATATACTATAGCCAGTTCGGGCACCTTCGTACTTGGCAATCAATACGATCTTCCCCGTTATGAATGTCGTTACTACGTAAAATTATGCGAACGAGTTTTAGCGGAACCGAGATGTCTATTCCGCCTTCACAATGGTATAGCTGCGGATTGGGGGAGTTCGTTCTAATCCTACCGAGACCAAACAGCTGGGGTTTATATATATTTCTTCTATGATCCGACATATGGCTGCCATCTTCGTGTGCGCCCGTGAGATAATAGGCGTGTTTGGGGCGTTTGTATACCCTTGACTTATCATTGCCTGTTCCCCAGGGCAGACCTCTCCAGAAACGGGCTAAATAGCTATATTCTGCCATGCGCTTACAATCCCTGAGATGTCAATTGCTGTCCGTAGTGATTGGGCTCGCGCCCTTCACTAACGCCCTCGGATAGCAGCAGATAGTCAGCTTCACCAGTAGCGAGGGTGCTTTCCAAGTAGCTGGCGGGCCGATTTCCCAGCCTCAAATTCTGGTTTCAAGCAACGAATATTGGGGGGTCATTCGTGCTGCGGGCGATCTCGCTAAGGACTTTGGTCGAGTGACGGGAACTAACTTCACATTAAGCAACGGGGAATCTGGTGCTGAACCGGCATCGTACGAATACAGGCCAATCACACGGAATTACACACATGTAAGTAAATCTCCCCCTATTACATGGAATATGCGACCAGCCGAAAGCTTAGTAGCCTTTCAACTTCAATATCCCTGTCCTATAAGCCTTTACGAAGTGATAGATGCGGGATGTTTCTAGCAATCATTTAACATATATGATGCAGTATGCGGTTAATGGTACACGATACTTTCGCGGTCCCGAATATGCCGATCCGTCGGCTGAAAGCACCGTCATAATTGCTGGCACACTGGGACATTCCAAAGCGATTGACGAATTGGTTAGTGCTGGGAAGCTGGACGCCTCGGATATCGAAGGAAAGTGGGAATCATTCACGACTAAAATTGTGGAAGATCCAGTTGCCGGATGCTCAAAGGCAGTCGTTATAGCAGGTAGCGACCCTCGTGGAACTATCTTCGGCATATACGACATTAGCGAGCAGATCGGCGTAAGCCCGTGGTATTGGTGGGCCGACGTCCCTATCAAGCAGTCGAAGGAAATATATGTCCTACCAGATGGTAAAGTCCAGGGGTCTCCTTCAGTCAAGTATCGTGGCTTTTTCATCAACGATGAGCAGCCTGGCTTGTCTGGGTGGGTCCAATGGAACTATCCCGACACGCCCTATGGAGATGGTTACAATGCCGACTTTTACTCAAACGTATTTGAGCTCCTCCTTCGACTACGTGCAAACTACCTATGGCCTGCCCTCTGGGCCACCATGTTCGAAATTGATGACCCAGCAAACCAGCCACTAGCTGACGCGTGGGAGATCGTGCTCGGGAGTTCGCATACGGAGCCGATGATGCGCGCACAGAATGAATTCCACACGTTCTATACTAGCAAAGGCCTAGGTCCCTGGGCGTATAATCTAAATAACAAAACGATCGACGAGTACTTTGTTTACGGGGCGGAACGTGCAAAGCCATATGCGCGCAATAGTTTATGGACTATGGGTATGCGTGGATCTGGCGATTCTGGTATTGAGGGCCTGGACGTCGAAGTGATCGTCGAAATGCTAGAGACTCTTGTTCACAACCAACGAGCCATCATAGAAGACGTGTTAGATACTAAAGCCGCCGAAGTACCTCAGCTATGGTGCCTATACAAAGAAGTCATGTCTTATATCCTCCAAGGCCTTACGATTCCGGAAGATATCACCCTTCTATGGGCGGATGACAATTGGGGTAATGTTCGGAGAGTGCCTATCGACAACGAGACGACGCGATCCGGAGGAGCTGGTGTCTATTACCACCTTGAATACGTTGGAGATCCCAGAAGTTACAAATGGATGAACACGATCCAACTGGAAAAGACTGCAGAGCAGATGCAGCTTGCATATTCTCATGGTGCTGATAGGATATGGATTGTTAACGTCGGAGACATAAAGCCCTTAGAAATCCCACTCAGTCACTTCTTAGACATGGCGTATGACATCAACCAGTGGGATGTAGACGGAGTGGCCAACTGGACACTTGCTTGGGCGGCTCGCGAATTCGGGCCTGAGCATGCCACAGCTATCACGGAAATCATGACACGGTTCGGCATGTTTGCCGCAAGGAGGAAATTCGAATTGGTGGAGCCATACGTTTATTCAGTCGTCAATTATAACGAAGGCGATGCGATATTGGGTCAATGGCAAGGTTTGGCTGATGATGCGCAAGCCATCTACGAGCAGTTGGATGAAGCCCACCAGCCGGCGTTCTTTGAGATGATTCTGCACCCTATTCTCGGCGGCCAAATCGTTCACCAGGTCTATATTGGTGCGGAAAAGAATATAGTTTATGCAAACCAGTTCCGAAGCGCGGCGAACGATCTTATTTCCCAAGTCTTATCCAGCTTCAATGCCGACAGTAATCTTACGGCAAGATGGGATAGCCTATTAGATGGGAAGTGGAAGCATATGCTCGATCGTAAGTCGAACTACCTTGAACTGCTCATATGTTACTTACTAATTTAATAGAAACCCACTTTGGGTATAACAGTTACTGGCAGCAGCCGATGCGGAATGTCCTTCCGGCTATGTCTTACGTTCAGACTGCAGTATCTTCGGTAGCAGGTAATGTTGGCATAGCCGTAGAAGGGTTGAATGCTAGCATTCCTGGTGATGATAGGTATCATCCTAATTCGGACAATACTCTCGTGCTTCCACCATTAGACCCCTATGGGCCTGTAGCGCGGTGGTTTGATGTATTTTCGAGAGGCACGTTGAACTGCGACTGGTCGGCCGAAACGGATATTCCCTGGGTTAAACTGTCGCAATACAAGGGGACAGTAGGTCCTGATAATGGTACGGATTCTCGCGTCTTCGTTTCGATAGACTGGGAGAACGCGCCGCAAATTGTCAACGATACCGTGGCCAGTATCAACTTCTCAACGGGCTGCGGTCGCAAAGGCTTTTTTAGCTGGTACAGTGATCCGATCGTGCAGCTTCCCATTAACCTACGTACGGTCCCGTCAAATTTCACCCAGGGATTTGTCGAGTCAGATAAGCACGTAGCCATCGAAGGGCCGAATTACCAACGTATCTACACGCCGCCTGATGTAGCGGCGGACTCGGATATCGAATATCATACGCTGAAGAACTATGGGCGCACACTCGGCGGCGTGACTCTCTGGCCGCAGACTACGCCGCCTCAAACTACCGAGTCGGCCCCGGCTCTCGAATACGACTTGTATCTATTCACCAACATCTCGAAGGCCAACGTAACGCTATATCTCTCGCCCACCCAGAATTACCTCTCCGACAAGACGCCCCTCGAGTTTGCCGTGTCTCTTTTCCCTGCGGGCGCAGAGCAGGCCGAACCGCAAGTTGTTCGCTTCGTGGGCGAGAGCGTCGGAGCGGGTATGCCTCCCGGTTGGGGACGCGCCGTCGCCGACTCTATCTGGGGGCTGGCCCCGGGTCATAACACCACGACGACCTGGAACGTTGCACAAGAAGGAGCATACACACTCAGGGTTTGGGGACTAGCGCCGAGCGTCATCGTACAGAAGATCGTGTTGGATCTAGGCGGCGTGCGATCCAGTTATCTCGGCCCTCCCGAGAATTTCCTTGTCGGGAGAGACGAGCTAGGTTTTTATAATCAAGCGAGCTTTGCGGATGGCCCAGGGGTTCCTGGCGGAACTGCGAACATATAACATACCTATATAATATGAGGTGTCTAATATATAGTGAAATTCTTCATTTTTACCTGCGTATTTCGAGCTTGAATCTTATGATCATCGATAAGACTTTCATCTATCAGTGCAACATGTCCTCATGACTGGAGTTTAAGGGGTATAGTTGAGCTGATACTTTTCGGCTGATACTTTTCGTTTGCTTTAACTAAGATAAAAGTTTGTAAATTAGATTTCTCAACGCTTATCTAAATCCTTCTTAGCTCATGCTCTTGCAAGCCTCAACTTTTACTAGGGTTCCATATTCGATCATGCAAAAGCTGAGTTGTCAGTGGATACTTTGTCTTAGTGTTGACTTTATGCCAGTGAGGTCAATTTTAATTGGCTTAGAGCCTGCTGAAACCAAAGTCCGGGGTGCGTAGGTCCAGCTAGGCTAAACCTTGCGAATCATATGCCAGAAGTCTGTTTTCTTGCCCCACTAATTTTATGGTTAGGGCTGCCACGCTTGCACACCAGCACACTCAGACACTACATACCTGTAGGTTACTATGTACAAACAAGGCGGATACCGGTTGCCCTGGTGAATTTTTAAAGCTAAAAATCAACATGGGTTTCAATACATATTACATTAGCGACCTGCAACAATTTCCATCCACATTTTAGCTCCTGATGACGATATTTTCGAGTGGTCCTCCCACAATCTAACCAACCTCTTACTACTAACTAATCTAGCTCGACGACACCCATTAAGCAGGTGTATATACGCTCGTTAATCGATTTGAAATCTCGAAATCGCGACGGGCACTAATTTCTTTCTCACGGCAACAACATACCCTGCCTGTTTATTGTTTATTGACCTTGTTTATGTCGACACTTCTAGCTTAATTTTCAGACAACTTTACAAGGAAGGATAATCGATACGGACAAAATAGAGCTATCCAAAATGGCTGTGATAGACCCGGGAGCATCATCTATCACGGTCGCAGGTAAGATAGACTTACTTGTCGTATAAAATAGTAAATTAGATGATGCTGACGTGCTAAAAGTTCGAGTCCGACCATTCACTATCAGAGAAGCGGCACAATTGTATGCTAATTCCGATCTCATATCACCAAATCCCCAAGATAGACATGCTAACGTAGTAGTATAGACAAAGGAATGATGATAACACATTATTTCTAGGGGATGGCTCCCTGGCTGCGGCGCCCGCACCGAAACTCAAGCAAGGTGGCATACGATCCGTTATTAAAGTGGTCGATGACAGATGCTTGTAAGTGTTCACACAAGAGATACCACATTATAGTATATAGTAACTGACTTGTACGCATTGCAGAGTGTTTGACCCGCCGGAGGACAATCCAATCCAAAAATTCTCGAGATCCGTGGTACCAAATGGCAAGAAAGTCAAAGATCAAGTCTTCGCTTTCGACCGTATATTCGACGAGAACACAACACAAACAGAAGTATACGAGGCTACGACCAAGAACTTATTAGACAGCGTCCTAGATGGCTATAATGCCACAGTTTTTGCATATGGAGCTACAGGATGCGGTAAAACGCACACAATCACCGGCACAGCCCAGATGCCCGGCATCATATTCTTGACAATGCAGGAGCTCTTCGAAAAGATTGCCGACCGTAGCGACGAAAAGCACACCGAGATATCCTTGTCGTATTTAGAGATCTACAACGAAACCATTCGAGACCTGCTTGTCCCCGGAGGTAGCAAACAAGGACTGATGCTCCGCGAGGACTCCAACCAAGCCGTATCAGTTGCAGGGCTGACGAGCCATCACCCTAAGGATGTTCAAGAGGTTATGGACATGATCGTGCAGGGGAACGAATACCGGACGGTATCACCAACCGAGGCGAACGCCACTTCTTCACGATCCCATGCAGTCCTACAGATCAACGTTGCCCAGAAAGACCGTAACGCCGCCGTCAACGAACCCCATACGATGGCTACCCTGAGCATTATCGACCTCGCAGGTAGCGAGCGAGCCAGCGCTACCAAGAATCGGGGCGAGCGCCTGATGGAGGGTGCCAATATTAACAAGTCTTTACTCGCACTGGGCAGCTGTATTAATGCACTCTGCGATCCCCGAAAGAAGAATCACGTCCCTTACAGGAACAGCAAGTTGACACGACTTCTTAAATTCTCGCTGGGCGGCAACTGCAAAACGGTCATGATCGTTTGTGTGAGTCCATCGAGTGCGCACTTCGACGAAACACAGAATACGCTACGGTATGCCAACAGAGCGAAGAATATCCAAACCAAGGTAACACGGAACGTCTTCAACGTCAACCGACACGTCAAGGACTTCCTCGTGAAAATCGACGAGCAGATGGCGTTGATCAACGAGCTCAAAGCTCAGCAAAAGGATGCCGAGAGAACTTTCTTTGCCAAGTTCCAGAAACAGCTAGAGAAGAGGAACTGGTCGGTCAAGGAAGGAGTACAGAGGATCCAGACGGCATACGAGAACTCGTCGTCTGAGAGGCAAGAGAAGGTGAACCTCATGAAGAAGCTGAGAGGAGTCGAGCGTCGCATCGGTCTTTTGTCATCGTGGATCGCCGCATTCGACGCGGTTTGCGATATGAGAGAGGACGAGGACACGATGCCGTCAAACCTTACCGCCATGCGCAAAACGGCGATGGGAATTCAGCTAGAACTCGAGGACAGCCGGCAACATATCCACCAGAAGTTGAACAGGATAAATTGGGAGCGCGCTATCGACGGAGCTCTCCAGCATAGTATCAACCAGCTACCAAAGGGAGACGCAAATGTGGATAATGGCGAGATCGAAAGCCTTACTAGAGAAGCCGAACTATGGAAAGCCAAATTTGCGCGCGAGGCCGATCGCGAGGTTCTGGATCAGGATAAAGCCGGCGACTCGGGGATTATGCAAGTCCTTCTTACCGCGCAGTTTGAAATCCTCGCCTCGCTATCAGAGACGATAGACATGAGCGAGGAGGAGGCTATTGCACATGCTAAAAGTATCATCAACCGTTTACTAGAGACAGGATACGCAGCCGCCTCGCAAGTAGTTAAGCCGGACGGGGCCAAGATGCCGATAGAGGCATTTCCGCCAACGAAGCGCGGGACTCCAAAGCGAAAGAAGACGACGAGGATGAGCATGGGAAAAGACGTGATAAAGCCAATCCCTAACCCAGCACTAGCAGCTGTCGTAGCCTCCCAGCCACAAACGTTCGGTTCTCCGGTTAAAGGTTCCCCCCGACGTCGCAAAGCGCTTAACGCACGTAAGGGCGTCTCATTTACTCCGGTTAAGAAGACTTCGAAGCGTGCGGTACGATGGCGCGACGACGACGGCGAATCGGGCACCCTAGCCGACTTCGAGAAGACACCCCAGAAGTTCAACTCTTCGCCGGAGCGTAACTCACCCGAGAAGGCTGTACCTGCGATCCCCCCTATCCCGTTTTACTTACACAAAGATGACACTGCAGATGATTCCAGTACCGAGCTGACGATCCCCGAGACGACAAGCCTTCCGGTTGCGAAGCCTAACAGGTTCCAGGCAGGATTTTTGTCGAAATCTCGCACGTCGGAAGTTAACGGCTCGCCGACCGGACCTAGACCTACGATCTCTATAAACCTGACGTCCTCACCCGGCAGCGAGGGCCGAGTTAGCCCATTGCGTAACCTTGACGTGTCGCGAGCTGGTAATATCAACTCCCCTAAGATACGGTTATCGTCAAGCCCAAAATCATCCATACCAGTGCCTCAAAGTATGTCGTTAGACGAAAATCACCCTCCATCATCCGACTCGGAGACTTCGGCCATCATTGACACGTCTAAGCTTCGCTCGGCAATCCACGCCAACAAGAGACCAAAGCGGCTCTCTTCGCTAGCAGGAAGCGTGACGGGTCCGGCTGTGGTCTCTAGGCGAGTGTCCTCGATCGGATCTATCGGCGGCAACTATCACAAGACCAGCAACAGCTACGGAGGCCCCACCTTAGCGTCGAGCACGAACGGTATCTCGCGGTTACGACGAGGCAGCGCAGAAAGATATAGGAGCCCTCCCATCAGCTGCTCACCGCCGGATATAGGAACCCGCGAGTCGAAAGCGTTCACAGCGGGCCAGGCCAGGCGGATGGGTATAAGCAACAGCGTAAGGGGTACGAGCGCACTTACCAGCCCGAGCGACAGGAGGTTGGAGGCTGCCAGCAACCGCGGGCGACGCATTACTATTGGTGGCTCGGGTATGGCGGCTGCAGGCGGTGCGAGGAGGGAGAGGGGAACTCTGTCTTGGCGATAAGTTGATTGTTTGTTCTATCCGTGAAGGTATTTGATTAAATAAGATCAGGCGTCGGGGGGGGCTCCTCGGGCGTGCAGTTGCAAATGACTTTGCTAAGCAAATTGGCACATATGCGTCTTTGCCCGTCTTGTGGAAGGTTTAGGTCTCGACTGGCGTTTTTAGGTCCAATTCTCATACAAACATGATTATTCGGTCGGTTGGCTGGCTGCGGGGTTTAGGAGTCCCTTGGTCCCTTGTATCTGATAGTTTTCATTTTGATAGGGGGTCCGAGGTTTCATGTCTCACGCTCGATAAGTAATGAATTCTGGTTATGTTCATGTTCGATTAGATGCCGCGGGGTGAGGTGGTTGATGAGTGTATGTTTATTTATTCGGTAAGAAGGCAGGGAGATGAAGTTTGACTCGATGCAGTCAGATGTTCTTCGTCTAGTTATTGTTAGATCGTGCTTATTCGAATCAAATGGTTCATACGACGTCTAATGTATATTGTTTCCCTATTCATTCATTTCTCGGGGTGCGAATTGGCATTATTGAATTGTTCTAGTTTCCTTATTCCTTCTTCCTCCTCAGGTACCTTGAACGGGTTTCATAAAGAATAGGTCATGACGTCGTAGGGCTGAAGCGGCCGGTGCTTTAGCGACCCTGACCTAGTGTAGCGATTGCTGGGGAGTTTCACTTTACCATCATCGAGTCGAGTCTTATAAGCAGGTACCTAAGGTATTCCTTTGTTATACGTATATGTTCATGCTAGGGCTTATAATGTCTCACAATGTTGTAGTTCCCTTTTCATAGATAATTTGATTAGAAATTATATAAATAAGTTACAAGATGCTGTCTGCTTCCCCCCCTCCCCCCTGTAATCGAGGTGTTTCATGCTAGTCTTCTGCGTTTGATACTCAACTATTAGGGACTTAATTCACCATCAACCTCGACATATTATTAGCTAAATGGTAGTTATGAAAAATAAAAACAACAACTTAGTATAATATCTATCTACCATTCATTATATATAGATTTAGGGATCACGAAAGGATGGCAGGTCCCGTACACGTCCTCGACGACTACTACCTCTCCATCACGCTCCTCGTCACAATCGCGTATCAGCTGTTCTTCTTCGCGATAGCGTACAGCTTCAAATTCGATAAACTTACAGGTTCCCACCCACCCTCTATTTCCTTTCTTTCTTTCTTCCCTAGTTAGTCGAGCTCTACTATGTACATATTTAAAGATCATCTTTCTCATAACATAAATTTACAGATTTCGCCGGAGGTACCAACTTCGTGGTCCTAGCCGTGCTCACGCTAGCCCTGAGCCGCGATCCTGATGCGCGACAGATCGTGGCCTCGGTGTTTATTACGGCGTGGGGATTGCGGCTCTCGCTCTTCTTGCTGTACCGCGTACTGCGGACAGGCAAAGACGATCGCTTCGACGGCACGCGCGATCGCTTCTTTCCGTTCCTCGGCTTTTGGGTCTTCCAGATGCTTTGGGTGTGGGCCGTCTCGCTGCCCGTTACGATTCTGAACTCCCCCGCCGTCCGCAGCTACCAGCCCCAGGTTTCCTTCGGCACGGGTCGGGATATAGCAGGCGTGGTTTTATTTAGCATCGGGTTTGTTATGGAGAGCGTAAGCGACGTGCAGAAATTCGTGTTTCGGTCGAGGAATGATCGGAGCGCGATTTGCGACTCGGGGTTTTTTTACTGGAGTCGTCATCCGAATTACTTTGGAGAGATCATTATTCAGTTCTGTAAGTTTTCACTTGGATATCAATCCGTAAGGACTTAAATTGACGATAAAAGCTATATATATGATGTGCGTCTCGCCCGCTGCCGATGGCCCTGTCGCCGGACAAGCATTCAATGCGCTTTACGCCACAATCTTAGGTCCCTTCTTCCTCACCATCCTGCTCATGTTCGTCTCGGGGCTGCCGCTGTCTGAGCGTCCAGGCGCTAAGAAGCGGTACGAAAAGGGCTCGAATTGGGAAGGCTATCAGCGGTATTTGAACCGTACTAGCATCCTTATCCCGTTTCCGCCACACGTCTACGAACGGCTCCCTACTATCGTAAAGAGAACGGTGTTCCTCGAGTTTCCTATATACGTATTCGATCCGGCCAAACACTCGGAGATCACCGAAAATAGATAAATCAGCGAATGAGAGGTAGTATGAGAACCCCCTACCTACTAACCTCCGCCGGACTGAATAGCCCTTAACAGATAGAACTTGAGGGAAACGAGGGTATCATTTACACGGGTTAACTTTTCCTATCTAAATTTACCATCACTACGCCACCAACTACCGTCGGCCAACCAACCAGGCACGAGCGCCAACTCCGCCCATCAAAACTTTCAACATCGCCTATAATCCACTCAACTCGCACGCGCCCTTTACAGGCACCATATGAGCAGATTCCCCCGCCAAGTCAGCCGCCGTCGGGGCCGCCCCGCTATTCACGAGTATACCCGCCGGGTCGAGGGGTTGGTCAAGAGATTCTTGAGAGGCGCAGTAGTCGGACTCGGTGGGCTCTTCCGAGTATGTTTCGGAGCCCTCAGGGATTGGAACCATGGCTGATTTGGTCCATATGTGGATAGCTCTTGACCAGTCGAGCCCATCTATACACTTTAGGAGCATGAGAAGTTAGTGGCTAGCTATCTCTCTTCGGGTCAAATAAGACACCTAGGTAATCACTTATCGGGGGATATATTGGCGACTATATATATATTTTATGCGTCGAATAATTAGGAGAATATAGAGACAAGGGGGGTATACTTACTCCTCCTTTGACGGAGACAACATTCTTGCCCTGCATAGGTATTATTAGCGTATATGTCAAACGTGTCACTAGTATCACTCACTCACCGGTGTCGTGTGAAGTAGTCTAGTCCCGCAGTTTCGGCAAAAATAACTAATAGAAATAAGTTAACCAACCCACCACCACCATCATCATCATCATGAGTCGAGAGAAAGGCATAGTAATTACCAATAAAGCGTGTGACCAGAAGGTGTCGGCCGGCTATATCATCACCAGCGAGTCAGTGAGTCATACTTCAAACCATATATATACATAAACATTATAATTATAACATAGGTAGATAGATACTAAGGAGACAGTTGGATAAATACTCACGTATAGCACGACATCAGCTCAGCGCGAGGTAGAGGAAAACGGGGGAATATGGCGGAGGTGCCAAAGGCAGAGCTCGTCTGACGGCGACATTCGGCACAGTGGCAGATGTAGAGAGCCAGGGGCTTGGGCAGGGGCGTTTTAAACGCGACGGCACCGCATTGACAGCGGGCATCCATGGCTTATTTTTCTTTTCGTCTGATGTGTTTAACTAAGTGGCGTTCTTTTGTGATGCTTCTTCGCTTTTTTTCTTTTTTCTTTCCTTTTCTTTTTGTGCTATGCCGTTATATTAGATATCGAGTGCGGATACTCAGTACCTTAGACAGATAACGCGACTCTATACCTCTAGGAGGTAGGTAGGTATGTAACTCAAACACTTGCCACAGTCCTTTGGGATCCTTTGGGGCTTATTATGTTGGAAGTATAGGTAAGTAGCCGGGTTAATATAGCAAGAAGAAGTTGAGTCAACAACGGACGACGATTCCGGAGGGAAAGAAGGACGCGGAGCTTAAGGCTTGGCTACCTAAGGGAAGGTATGTAGCCTAGTAGTATTAAAAACCCCGGCCCCGAAAGCTAATTTTTGTGTGTCCCGATCCCCGCATATCTTGTGTTGACCGAATTAGTCATCATATATGACAATTACGATTTCGTCAGTATATATATCTCATATATATGTTAATATCAGGTTTCTAAGAATTACGGTAGCGGTGTAATTCATGGAATTTCACACACACAATTCTCGCTAAAGCTCATACATAGCTGGCGAAAGCACGCCGATGACATCACGATATCCCCTGCAACCTTGACTCATCGGACCATCCACCAACTCCCAAACGCGATATCACATGCCCAGGCGTCTCCAACTTACCAGCTTAATATTAGATGAAGCCTACCTATCTAATATATGAATATTACCTTCTTAGATTATCGATATTTCTTTCTCTGGTGGCAAACACTTCCACGGTATTATTCTATTATTCTGCGTTTGGGGTATGCACGATTATGAACGTGTAAGAAAATCAATCCAAGTCCATCCACGCCGGAACTCCCTCTTTATCTACAATATTAGGGTTAGCACCGTTTTCCACAAGAATCCTCGCTAATGTCTCGTTCGATTTGGTAAAAGCAATGTGTAGTGGCGTCCTGCCATCGCTATCTTGAACGTTTGGGTCCGCCCCATTTCTTAAAAGCAGCTCGGCCTGTGCCTTATACCCCGCGTATCTACGAGGAAGCACATTTGCGGCTTCATGGAGAGGAGTCTCCCCTGCTACATCCTGGATGTTAGGGTCTGCTCCATTCTCTAACAACTCTTGAGCCATCTCAAGTGATATCTCGAGATGCTGCTTTATTGCATAGTGCAGTGCTGTTCTTCCATTGTTGTCTCGGGAATTGGGATCTGCTTTGTTCTTCAGCAACAACCTTAACGTTGCTATCATCCCGGACATGTTGGTTTCTCCTTTAAGCTGTGTCACGGCAGCGTGTAGTGTTGTTTTCCCATCTCTATCGGGTATGTGAACGTCGGCCCCGTGCCTCATAAGCAGCTCCGTCATTCTAGGAGAATGTACTTCCACTCCCAAGTGCAATGCTGTCTGCCCATTTTCATTTTGGATATCGGGCTTGGCTCCCCTGTCCAAAAGCAGTTGTACCACGTCTTCTGCAGATGCTCTCGATGCCAAGTGCAATGGTGTATGTCCGGTTTTATCTTGCCCGTCTATACAGCTCATCCCCCCTTTCTTCAATATGATGTCCACATCCCTTTTATCGCTGCGTTGTATACCACACACAAGATGTAATAGGGTCCTTCCATAGCGATCCTTATAACAAACATCGGCGCCGTCCTCTATGAGGACCCTTGTGTTCCCGGTATTTCCAGGTAGGGTAGTTAGGTGCGTACCCGTTTCTTTAACCACGCATAGCGTCTCCCCATCCGCTGCACCGACTATCACGCTAGGTTTCCTTTTCAACAGTGACTGTATTGGAGTGCTGAGACCGCGTTCCACCGCAATATGCTGTGCAGTTATCCCATAATTGTCCCTTGTAGAAGGGTTGGCACCTTTTTCCACCAGCAATCGAACTAAAGCTTCATCCTGGCGAGAACAGGGAGAATATGCAGCGTCGTGTAATGCCGTCCTCATGTAGATAACGACGTAATGCAATACTGTCCTGCCATCTTTATCCTTAAGGCAGGGGTTGGCCCCATTCTCAAGTAATAGCTGTATCATAGGTTCAGCTGACGACAATAATCGTTGACGCTCTTCGGGATGCGGGTGCTGGACGTCCCTAACTGCTATATGCAGCGGTGTTCTCTTATAGTAATCCTGGATGTTTGGATCGCTGTTGTTCTCTAGAAGAATCCGCATGGCAGATATGTCTCGTTCAGATACCGCTGAATATAATGCTGTTCTTCCTCCCTTGTCTTGGTTATTGACGTCTTGTCCTTGCTCTAAGAGTAGTTGTACTACTTTTGCGCATCCAGGCTTTACCGCCTCATGCGGGCTTCTACAGTCATACATATTATCAATATTCCGTGCGGAATGACTTTTAAGCAAGAGCTCTACTGTCGATGCGTCTCTTAGCCTTATAGCCTCATGAAGAGGCGTCCCATATTTGCAACACCATGTATCAGAAGAAGCCCCTTTAGCCAAAAGCGACTCAACTACTCCCTTCATACTGTATCTGACGGCCATGTATAACGGTGTCTCCAAGTTGGAGTCGGCGTTGTAGTCCAAAAGTAGCCGTGCAATCGACTCATGCCCTCTCTCAATTGCTACGTGCAGTGGAGCCATGGCTAATTCATTTAGGACGTTGATCTTCGCTCCTCGTGCCAACAATTCTTCAACCATTAGTATGTGTCCTCCATATGTGGCCATGTGAAGAGCCGTGCATCCGTCATGCTTAGTTATGTTCAAATCTGCACCGTATCCGACAAGCAACGAGACGACGTCCCCGTGGCCACCAGTTGCCGCCTCTATTAACGGCGTTTCGATCCCTTGGGTCGTTCGGTATGGAGGCTTTATATTTAATAGGAGATCATGTTTGGGTCTTTTCTCTAATAATTGGCCAACCACTCTTATATGCCCATGTCTTGACGCTATTGAGATGCCCATAGGCAACCATTCGTCTTCCATGATTACTTCTTCCATGACTTCCCAGAAGTTGAATCGGCAAGCCATACTAAAGGGGCTTATCGATAGATTCGTCCCCCGTTTAATATTCCTTCCGAAGCGCACTTCTATTGAGTCATACGATGAATTCGTCTCTTCTTCAATATTCCTTGTGAAGTCCGCTTCCATTAAGTCAAGCCAGTAGGGGAAATTACGCATCACGGCTGATGACAGGGAAATTCCTCGTACCCAATCTTGGAATACGGTAGTTACGCAACCCTTCCCAATAAAGGAGGAAAATAGCGCCTTGAGAGGGCTCTTGTTGTTCCTTACTGAATCGCATTCCTGGCAGTGGAAAGCCCACTGGACCATCGCGTAGTCCACCAGTGTGTCCGAGCCCGACTCGAATTGGTCACTCGTCATCATTTGTCTGACATGGTCCTGGAAGAGAACATGAAAACAGGTCTCGGCTAATAATGTATGCGCGTCCAATGGATTATAGTCGACCGGCTGAACTTTCCTAATAAACTCAAGAACCGAAAAGTGCCTGAAGTCAAAATAATCTGCTTCCTTATTGAAAGTCACCAGGTGATGGCAGACCTGTACAATATCTTCTGGAGTGAGAGGATCTGGGTTTATGTTTAATTCGACGCATATCGCATTGATTAGGTATCGCGATGGCAGACGCTCATTCGCCTTATATAACCATAGAATAGTACGTCGTGCTAATTCTGCATATCGACCATCCTTTATATTTGCAAAGATACTCTTGTACATGGCTTCTAGACCGATCGGAAGTTCATCTAGAGCTGTCTCCATGTCACCGTCCAAAGAGCTGCAGATATAGTCGATGGCGAATTCAATGTATGTGAACCTAGTAGATCTGTGTAAGTACCTAACGAGGCGTCTAACCTAGTGGTGATTCCCATCAAGAAAGAAGATACTAACATTCCGTGTGCTCGTTCCGCTAGCTTCGTTTTGACCTTATCCTTGATGTATTGGTCTCTATCTCCAAGCCGGATTTCTACCTCGGTATCGATATAGAGAGTAATATCGCTCTTCGTCTTTATAGGGGCGACTTCTATCTTAGGCCAATGGTCGAGGGCATTGCTAATTCGGGTTTCCGGTCGGCTTGATAAAATTATTTTCAACAGACACGAGGGCGTTTCTACTTGCATAAGGTCGTTCAACGCCTCGAAGAAAACAGCCAAGTCCTCATGTCCGATCTCATCCAGTGCGTCGATTATTATGGTTGTTTGAGCTCTGCCATTAAGGCTAACGAGTTCCTTTATCAACTCTTTCGACTCGTCCAATGTGAGCAGCTCTTCCCCATGGGACTTTGCTTTCCATTTTTTCGTTACCGTTTCTAGTCCTTGTCCGCCATTTGCAAGTTGTCTAACGATACTTCGAAGCATGGAATCAGTACTTGTTCCTAGGGTCCCCGAGCAGTAAAAATAGGCTATTGCTCCTTGGTTCTCTTCATCGTATAGAGTCTTGACATGCTCGATAATAGTCGATCTAAGACAGTCAGTATACAAGTACAGTTACTCTCAACAAAGAGACTTGGGATTTTACATCAAAATAGTTTTTCCTGTTCCAACTAAGTTCAAGTCAGTCAGCGTATTTAAGGCATGTTATAGTGTATGTTAGTTTGCTAGATAACTTACGATCTCCTGAGAGCCACAGCACGGAAGGAATAATCGCACTCTCCCAGTATCTATATTCCGGCTCCTCCAAGACCCATTTCCCCGGTGCTTTCCTCTTGGACCTTACGGCCTTATCACGGGCTGACTTGTGAAGAACATTGTGATTTGTAGTTGAGATCCATGCCAACACGTTCTGTCGGCTCTGCCCTGCCCAAGAAGTTAGCTCTCTCCCATGACGATTTATTTCGACCTACTTCGTACGTATTCATCAATACTAGCCGTTTGATGATCTATATTATATACTGGCGAAACTATAGTCTTCATCAGCGCCTTCAATTCCGTAAACTGTGTTGTACGACCTGCAGTATCATCAGCAGAATTGGCACAAAGTAAACATTTATCTACTTACATTCGTCCTCGATCAGTTTC